TCACCCTAGAGAAGCATTGGCCTAGATTAATATAAAGGAAGATAGCGATTTCGAAAGCAAATGAAAAAAAGAAAGATCAACTAATACACAATATAGAAATAACTCGTTTTTTCTTTGTTGCACAGCATCATCCTTCGGTTGTAGGTGGAGTGTACCAGCCAGACTTGGCATGTATTTGTACTAGTGATTTAAAAGATTGTTGCGCTCTCGCCAAGCTGTACTGCGCCTGAAAATAACTGATAAGTTAATGACATTAAAACAACGAAAATCTAACACTACTGCTGAGTTACAACCTTTCTCACAAGAGAATATAAGTCAAGTAGTTTTTAACTATGAGATGTGTAACAGCTGAATGCTCATGAAACGATGATTTCACATTCACCCTGCAAAACCACCGCTTACTGAATGGAGAAATGGGCTTTTACTTTACTGATGACACTTTGCTTTTTATTGAATTACATGGGTCTACCCGTTGTATAAATTTCCACTTTCAATATACTTTGAAACAGGAAACAGTCTTCGTAAACAGTCGTTCTTTCTCCCAAAAATGAAACAAATATGGTATCCTTCCTCAAAATTCTAAATGTAGTCTTCCATTAAGCAAGTTTACTAATGCACTCACCTATATGTTCTTGAAACGTTGAATCAACTATGTTTGTATTTTTTTGTATGTATTATAATTAGTGTTGGACCGATAATTAGTAAGCAACCTCGAAAATTAAACGGAAAACTCTGACAAACATATCAGTGGAAGGTAGAAATATTTGTAAAAGCTGTACCTGTGTGTTGCATATAAATGCAAAAAGCTGCATTCGACGGGAGTTGAACTCGTGAACGATTAATTGACGCAAAACTCTACTGCGCACTTTACGCTTGCTGCTTGTAGTGTGGGAAGCCTACCTCATCGAATCAAATGCAACTTCACAGTAAAGAATCGTCCATAATTACCTTTATAGGAAGATATTTGAAATAAAGACAAACTTGAAAGCAATATTCGGAGCGCATTTCGCTAATATATGGTAAACGGCCTGTTTGACTGCTATTTGTTCCAGTGTCATGTTTACATGATTGCACTGAGAGCGTAATTACAGAGAGAAATTTTACACTCGTATAACCCAAATGAAGGGTTACGTGAGAATATGAAAAGA